AGTGGCTCCTTATCACCATGTCAATCTTCAAAAGTTGAGATTCCATTTTACTCAGCAAAATTCGGTCCAGGCTGAAGGTTCCAGGTGCTTAATGTCTTCAATTTTAGCACACACACTCCCTTTTGTGCAGTTTTTAAGATCAGCATATTCAGTCTTGCAACATCAGTTAAAAGGTTCCATCTTGTAAATCACTGGTTGTCCTACTAGCTGTGTCTGTCAGATTCCTTTAATACCCCGAAGTCATTAACCTGAAGAAGTAGCTTAGTAAATCTTTCAACTCTAACTCAATTTCTTCTAAATATCACATCAAATGGGATGACAAAGGGCTCACGCATAAAGGGAAAAAATTGCCTTCTTTCCTTCATACTTGATTCTTGTTTTACAAAGTCATAGTAAGTTCCACCACATCTGCAAACCAATTCGTTCTTATGTGCAAACTAGAGGCATGGTGCATGAAATTCGTGCACTGGGGTTGGGGGGTGTCCCTCAGCCCAGCCTGCACCCTTTCCAATCTGGGACCCCTCGGGGATGTCTGAATGCTGGTTTAGGACAGATCCTTGTGGACATCCCTCTCACAATCTGGGACTGCTGGCTCCCAACCGCTCGCCTGCCTGCCTGATCAACGCCTAACTGCTCCCCTGCTGGTCTGATTGCCCCCAACTGCCCTCCCCTGCAGGCCTGGTCCCCCCCAGTTGCCCTCCCCCCGTCTACTGGCCTGATCGCCCACAACTTCCCTCCCCTGCCAGCCATCTTGTGGTGGCCATCTTGTGACCATATGGGGCGGCCATCTTTGACAACATGGGGGTGGCCATCTTGTGTGAGGGTGTGATGGTCAATTTGCACATCACCTCTTTATTATATAGGATGAGGTATTCAGGAGTAAATGGCACTGCCTGTGAGCCTGTAACTATTTCAAAATAAAAGGTACAAAATAGGCCACCTTTGCCAAAGAGGAGAGAGTATCGATGCCACTCCTAGTGATTTGACTTCTTCAGTACAAGAATCACTAATCCAAAGTGGAAAAAAGTTATAAATACCCACCTAAAACAGCCACTCAATTAGTTTTTCTCTCTCTAACCCTTATCCTCATTAAAGTTGCAATGAGACAAGATAACATTTTTTCTGAACACATCCAGGTTTTTTCAGTACAGAAAAAGTTGGGTCAACTATCGTTTTCTATTTTCTGGCACTAAAATACACCTATAATAGAGAATCACCAATACTTACTATAACATTCAGAAGCTGCAAGATCTGGAAATGCTTTCCAAATGTTGAAAGTAATGTTAAAAGTTATATAGAACAGGATCTCAATGTTGAAGCTATGTCTTTCTCAAACTTTCTGTTATGAGAATTTTCATATATGCTGCAATGTTGAAATACCATCATGGACACTAACATACTGTCCTAAATTCAATAATGGTTTTTGTTACATTTTCTGTCTTTCTCTATCTCTACCCCCCTCCCATATTGTCTCTGTCTCTCTGTCTGTCTGTCTGTCTGTCTGTCTGTCTCTCTTTTGGTTGGTATGTTTTTCAATATAGTCAAATTCTCTGAATTATAGTTTTCTAAATATATGGTATTATATCCATTTATAAAATATATGGTAATAAAAATATCTGTATTATAATTACATGTTAATTTCCTACAGGGATATTTTATTAGCTAAAATACCCAATGGTCTGAACATGATAAGTCATGTTCATTATCAGTATTAACTATGTCCTGTACCTGACCAACAATGGGATATGAATTTCTCCATAAGAGCTGGTGCTTTAGTCTGTCTTCCTAGGGATAAATTAGAGTATTTGTCTACCACACAAATATATGAGTGCCTAATGTATTCTCAATGATGATCAGGGTGTTTATAAGGAAATAAGTCTCTTATTGCCAATGTAAACTGAATTCTTTATAAAATATTAAACTATGAGAAAGGTATCTAATACTACCACAAAATAAAATGTGGGTAAACTGTCCTGAAAAAGTACTTAAATAAATCCTGGGAAAGAGGATTATTGTTGTTATCAAATAATTAACTGTAAAAGAGATAGGAAACTTTCATTGCACTTCTTAGATAGTATGATGGGAGGAATTGTGCCCTCCCCCCAAAATGATTTGTTGAAGTCCCCCTAGTACTTCAGAATGTGACCTTATTTTGAAATTGGGTTGTTGTAGATATAAGTAGTCAATTTAAGATGAGGTCATATTGGAGTAGGGTGGGCCCTTAATCCAGTAGGACTGGTGTCCTTATAAAGAAGAAGGATATTTGGACACAGACTTGCACAGGGGAAAGATGATGTGCAGACATGCAGGGAGAAGATGGCCATGTGACAAGGAGGCAGCAAGTAGAGTAATGCATCTACAACAAGGAACACCAAGCAATAGCTGGCTGTCGCCAGGAGCAAGGAGAGAGGCATGGGACAGATTCTCCCTCAGAGCCATAGCAGAAACCAGCCATGCTGACACTTTGATTTTAGACTTCTAGCCTTTGGAACTGTAAGAGAATAAATTTCTGTTGTTTTAAGTCAGTTGTGGTAACTTAGTATGGCAGCCTTAGGAAACCCTCACAGATAGGTGATAGATAGATAGATAGATAGATAGATAGACAATCTTTCAGGTTTCTTAAGTTTAGTTCTAGTCATAAAATGACAACCTAACAAACTATCCAGTGAAATAGTATAGTGGTCCCAAAGTTGTTGAATTAAACAATATGTATCTACTACATTGAGCCACATAAAATTGCCATTTTGTAGGAAAAAAATTATTTAATAGAGGTAATTTTATGTGGCTCCATATAATAGATTGCATAAATAATTCAAGTTTTTTGAAACCCCCTTTTCTCCTCAAGAGCAGATCCTTGGCTGGATTTGCTAGGAAAATACTGTTTTCCCTGCATCACTTTCCCTCTATAGATTCTTCAGCTTCATTCACTTCACTCAGGTAAGGAAGTTTCCATCTCCATGACCTATGTGGAATAAAACACTGGGGGCAATTGCCCTTTGAGGTTTTTTTTTTCCTCTCCCCCTCCCCCACTTTGAAGTTTTGCCTGCTATTTCTCTCTCCTCTCCATGCATGGCTTATTCTTTAAAACAATGCCGGGGATTCTATCTAATTCATGTTCAAAGCTGGGTTTCTCCAGGGGATTTTCTCTCCTTCCATTTGGCATAGCAGTGACTGTGTTTGACAACGTCTGCCTTGCAGCATCGCTCTGCAGCTCCATCTGACTCTTGGTTCCCATCCACGTTCTCTTCCTGCCTGCCTTCTGAGGAAGATGTTTCCAAACAGAGGTGGAGAAGAGAATACAGTGAGGGCAAACAAGAGCTTTACTTTCCAATGAGAATGAGTCAGGAGCTTACCAAATGTCTCATCCAAAGTTTCTGACTTAAACCAGCACTCACTTGAGCATTCACAAGTCATTTCTGAATGTTTATTTTTCTATATTTTCATATATCTAGTCCCTTTAAAGGTTTCCTCAAATATGAGATGAAAAATAACCACTCACAAATTTTAATGACAATGTTTTTAACCTGCAGGAAAGGATACAACCAACTCCAAAAATATCTCATGTGTGATTCTGGATAAAGCATGCCAACTTAGTGAGATAAGAAGTAGATATTTAACAGAAAATTCTATTTCATAAAAATTTTAATATTCCTTAGTTCAAATAAATTTTATGACTATAATAAATTGATTTAAGAGAAAATTCCAAACCTTGCTAATCAAAAGATTCCTCCGCATTATGGGATAACTTAAATCATTGCCTACACCAAACAGGAAATCCAGAATATAGAGTTGATTAGTAGCAATTGCCATTAAATTACCAACTTCAGCCCTGACCAGTTTGGCTCAGTGGATAGAGCGTATGCCTGCGGACTAAAGGGTCCCGGGTTTGATTCTGATCGGAGGCACATGCCTGGGTTGCGAGCTTGGTCCAACATGCAGGAGGCAGCCAATCAATGATTCCCTCTCATCACTGATGTTTCTATCTCTCTCTTCCTCTCCCTTCCTCTCTGAAATCTATAAAAATATTTTAAAAAATATTACCAACTTCAATTAAGCTGTCATTGTTAGTTTGCTATGGCTTTAAATTCTCAGAGATTGTTTCCCAATATTATGCTACTTCTACTCGACTGAAAACCCGGTGCTATTATTCTCATCTTCATTATATGAGATTCTAAAATTTCCCTGTGCCAGACGATGCATAAACAGCTGGTGATACCAAGCTGTCTTTAGGAAAAAAAAAGTCCATTGCCCTAAAGCTGGCAGTATTTGACTTCAAATTTATGATACATCTCAGTATACTTTATAACTGGGTTTCCAAAGTATATATATTTCACATATTTGTTGACATAAAATTTGAGAAAAGAAGAATGTGCTATAAAAGGAAATGTTGTCTTTTTGTGGTTTTATAAGGAGCAACAACCTAAGGACAGAAAATGTATGTGGGGCATTAGAATGACAAATGCCCTCTGGGGCACACGGTGTAGTAGTTACATCCTACTGGCAGTTGTATTTTAAACTTTCACCTGCATTTCTCACTCACTGGAGATGAGCCTAAGTAACTTTTGCCTCCTCAGCTCTCCTACAGGTATAGAGCAAAAAGAAGAAACCCCCAAACAAACGTTCTTAGGTGAGCCAGTTCAGTCCCAGAGACGTTAGCCTTTGTCCAGGTGTAACTCACTGAAGCAAACCCAACATTTGAAATCTAGGCCTATATGTATACCTAAAATCATGACTGATACACAAAGCAAGGTTCCCCTGCCAGCTCTACATGCTTTTCCTTTCCACCCTTCTCCTCCCCACATCCAATCTGAGATCCAGCTGCTTTCAGAGTCACAAGCAGCATCAGACAACAAACAACCCATTTGGTTGCACCCTCATAATTGAAATTCAAATGAGTTAACTGCAACAAAGTGGCTCTTTGCCCTTGGAATCAGGGCGTTTGGCTTCTTCAGGTAACAGATCCCTTAGTGATGCTAGTATATATAACGAAATAAACTTACTGTTTTCTTTAACACTTTGAGAGCATAAGGCTTCTGAGTCCCCTTCTGTTTGCATCTGTACACAATGGATGTAGCACCCCTTGAGGGGGAAAGAGACAAAAAGAAAATGTTATGCTCTGGACATGCAATAAAGGGGAAACCTTGAAAATACAAATCTCTTGCAGTTACCCTCATAGTTGACAACTGTTTATAAGTTCTACTACAGAACCCGCCCAACTGTTGAGAGTATTTTTTTCTCTTGCAACTGAATATAGTTGGCTCCAAAAAAGTCCGAGGTTTTCCGGTCTGCTCTTTTCCTTTGCCCCATCCCTACACAAGTAACAACATGTTTACAGCTGTTGCAGTCAGTGGCTCTGGAATAAACTAGGCCTTCAGGTGAGAATGGCTTGTTGGGTGCATATCCACTCAACTTGAGAACCCCTGAGCTTTCCTAAAAGTATGAGTCTGGAGTAAAGGAAGGCATGGTGGCTTCATGAGAGGATTTAAGTTCAGCCCTTGGCTCTAAGGGTCAGGACAGTCTCCACTACTTGGCAAGGGAGCTGGGGATCTTTGAGAATTTACACCACTTGGTGCCCTGGCATTCTCCTAGAGCCAGTTGGTCCTACAGAGATCCTGGCTCCTTTGTATTGGTAAATACTGCTACTACTTATTTCACATGCCCTAACAAAAAGAGTTCTGTGAAATGTTCAAGAGAAAATACTATTTAAAATGGTGAAAGATATAAAGGGGAAAAAAGCTTGAAGGAGCCCAGCCGGTGTAGCTCAGTGGTTGAGTGTCAACCTATGAACCAGGAGGTCACGGTTTGATTACCCAGTCAGGGCACATGCCTGGGTTGCTGGCTCAGTCCCCAGTGGGGGGTGTCCAGGAAACAGCTGATCAATTATTCTCTCTCATCATTGATGTTTCTATCTCTCTCTCCCTCTCCCTTCCTCTCTGAAATCAATAAAAAATATATTTTTAAAAAAGGTTTAAGGAGTACAGAATGTTTTTGGGGGGTTTTTTGTTGTTGTTGTTGTTGTTGTTTTACCTATAAAAGAAAATGGTAAAAAGGGGCTCAATACCTAACTTCATGTAGGTGCCAGGTTATTGACAGAATACTAAAAAGCAGGACAGTGTGATCCCGATGCTCCCTCTCCACTCAGAAGAGCAAGAGAACAAGACAGATACAAAGAGACTCACTGACAAGCAGGTTTAAATCTCAACTTAGGAAGGAGAACTTCAGATAAATCTTAAAATAAGGTCAGTTGAAGTAAATCTGTCAGACTTTGAAGATTAAGCTGAAGGACCTCTTTTGATATATACAGTCCTACGGTTTTGAAATTTTAAGCAGAACAGAAGTATACAAGTCAAACAGATGCCTACACACTACACATTTTAAATAGAGTCAGGAATTGGTATTGTAAATGCTAATAGATTTAAAAATTTCAACATTTAAGATATAACATATACATAAAGAAATAAAATTTTCTAGAAATGGAATAAATGAGGGTAAATATATAATTCATTGTATTTTTAATTGCTCTAGAAGACAACTATCTAAAGCCAAAATATTAACAATACATTGTGTTTACAGCATATGTAATAGTAAAATGCATGACAACAATAGCATAAAGAATGGGGGAAAGATAAAAAAATAAAATAAAGAATGGGGGAAAGAAATAGGAGAGCAAGAGAACAAGACATATACAAGTATTGTCCTTATACTATATTTTAAGTAGTATAATATTTCAGTAGTATGATATTATTTATTTTTAATTAAGAGATTTTAAAAAAGCTAATAATGTGGTGGATTTTAATTAACTCATACTAATAATTACATTAAGTTTAAACCTTATAAACACATCAATTAAAAAATGGTACCCCCTGCTTTTTTTTTTCCATTTCCATTTGAAAAAAAAAGAAAAGATGGCTAGATTAGATTGAAAAATCAAGACCAAACTATAGGCTGTGTATAGGAAACCATGTGGAATCTAATGAACAAAATAAACTGATGAACAAAATAGAACCAGAGTCCTGGATACATGGAACAGACTGACAGCTGTCAGAGGGGAGGAATAGGGGAGACTGGATGAAAGAAGGTGAAGGGATTAGCCAAAGAACATATATGCATAACCCATGGACACAGAAAACAGTGTGGTGATGGCCAGAGGGAAGTGGGGGACAGGAGCAGAGGAGGAGAGATGGAGACATCTGTAATAGTGTCAACAATAAAAATAAAGTTTAAATAAAGAAATAAATAGAAAGGCACAAACAGGTTAAAAATAAAATGATAGGAAATAGATACCATGCAAACCCTATGAAAATAAATCAGGAATAGCTATACTAATATTAGGTTAACTAGACTTCAGAACAGAGATAGAGATATTACTTAATTATCCAAGATGACATAACAACTATAATTGTGTATACACCCAACAATAGCACTTCAAACTTCATGAAGCAAACATTGATAGAACCAAAAGGAGAAATAAAATAATCCACTAATATAGTTGGAGACTTCAAAGCACACTGTTAACAATCAATAAAAAGAAAAAAGTAGACAAATTGTCACTAAAGATGCAGAAGATATGAATAGCACTTTCGACTAAATTAACCTAATTGGCAATTTGAGAGAATTCCACATAAAAACACCAGAATACACATTCTCTTCAAAGTTAGAGGATTCACATACTTGATTCCCAGATTTACTATAAAGCTACAGTAATCAAAGGAGTGGTATTGAAGGAATAATAAACATGGAGACAAATGGAACAGAAAGGAAGAATACAGAAATCATCTTACACATATATATGACCCATTGGTTTCTGACAAAGGTGGAAAGGTAATTTAGTGAAGAAAGGACAGTCCTTCCAACTATTAATAATGCTGGAACAACTAGACATATACCCATATACAAAAAAAAAAAATCTTTACATTCACCTCATACTATACAAAAAGTACTTAAAATGGATCACAAATATAAATGTAAAACCTAGAACTCTAAAACATTTTTTAAAAACAAAGGAGAAAATTGTGTAGCATTAAATATGTAATGCTGTCTTATAAAGAACAAAAGTACAGTGCGTGAAAGAATAAATAGGACTTTATTTAAAATAAGAATACTTTTATTTGAAAGTCATAGGCAGGGAGAAAAATATATACAAATCACATGCCTAACAAAGGACTTGTATTTAGAATTATAAAAATCCTTGAAGCCCAATAATAAGAAAACAAACAATGCATTTAAAATATGGGCAAAATACTTAAACATATACTTCACCAAAGAAAATATCTGGATGAAAAATAAGCACAAGGAAAGATGCTCAGGATCATTAGTCATGAGGGAGATGCAAATTAAAACCACAATAAGATACAACTATACTATACTTATTTGACACCTTATAAAAAGAGAGACAATATCATGGGCTGGCAAGGATGCAGAAACAATGAAACTCTCATACATGGCTGGTGGAAGTGCAAAATGATAGGGCCACTTTGGAAAATAGCTTGGCAGTTTTTGGAGGGTGGGTGGGAAGAGATCAACCAATGACCTTGTATGCATATATGCATAACCTGTGGACACAGATAAGGGGGGGGGGGGGGGGGGGGGGGGGGGGGAATGGGAGCAGGCTGGAAAAGGCTAATGGGGGAAGAATGAGGAACTATGTAAAACTTTCAACAATAAAGATTTAAAAAAAAAAAAGAATACTATATGATCCATCCATCTCACTCCCAGGTATTTACCCAAGTGAGATGAAAGCTATGTTCACTCACAAACTTGAACATGAATCTTTATAGCAGCTTATTAGTAATCACCCATAACTGCAAACAACTCTAATATCCCTCAACTGAGAAATGGATTGACAATCTGTGATACATCTATATAGTGAAAAACAACCCAGAAATAAAAAGAAATGAATGAGGGTACACATAACAGCTTGGGTGATTCTCTAAATTAATACCCTAAGTGAAAGAAGCTATGTTCAAAAGGCTATAGGCTGTATGACTCCTCACATTAACTTATCAATAATTTCAGTATACAAGCTGTTATCTTAGCAAAACTTTAAGAAACCTTTTTCAACAAAATACAGCCTTGATTGATCAACCTCAGGATACAAGTATGTTAGAATTAACTTTTTATTTTTTGTACATGAGTAATCTATTAAGAAAGTCCTATTTTATTTTGCTAAGTAATGGACTTATTAATGTTACAGACCTTTTAATTTTTTCCAGCTTTATCTATAACTAGAGGCCCGGTGCACAAAAATTTGTGTACTCGTGGGGGGGGGGGGCCTTTAGCCTGGCCTGTGCCCTCTCACAGTCTGGGACCCCTCGGGGGATGTCCACCTGCTGGCTTAGGCCCAGTCCCTGGGGGACTGGGCCTAAGCTGGCAATCAGACATGCCTCTGGCAGCCTGGGAGCCCCTGGGGGATGTCCACTTGCCAGCAGGGAGCAGGCCTAAGCTGCAGTCTGACATCCTTAGTGCTGCTGAGGAGGCGGGAGAGGCTCCCGCCACCACCGCTGTACTGGCAGCCGTCAGCCTGGCTTGTGGCTGAGCAGAGCTCCCCCTGTGGGAGTACACTGACCACCAGGGGGCAGCTCCTGCATTGAGCATCTGTCCCCTGGTGGTCAGTGTGTGTCATAGTGACCAGTCATTCCCAGTAGTTCTGCTGTTGGGGTCAGTTTACATATTACCCTTTTATTATATAGGATGGAGGCCTGGTGCATGGGTGGGGGCCAGCTGGTTTGCCCTGAAGGGTGTCCCGGATCAGGGTGGGGGTCCCACTGGGGTGCCTGGCCAGCCTGGGTGAGGGGCTGATGGCTGTTTGTAGCTGGTCACACCCCCTTCAGGGTGGGGGTCCCCACTGGGGTGCCTGGCCAGCCTGGGTGAGGGGCTGATGGCTGTTTGTAGCTGGTCACACCCCCTTCAGGGTGGGGGTCCCCACTGGGGTGCCTGGCCAGCCTGGGTGAGGGGCTGATGGCTGTTTGTAGCTGGTCACACCCCCTTCAGGGTGGGGGTCCCCACTGGGGTGCCTGGCCAGCCTGGGTGAGGGGCTGATGGCTGTTTGTAGCTGGTCACACCCCCTTCAGGGTGGGGGT